ATCAGGAGGTGCAGCAGTGGGGCCAGGACACTAGAAGCCCTCCCACTGTTGACCCCTCCAAGCTCCTGGGGTGGGGGCCTCATCCATGCCGCTCCAGGCAGCGTGGACGAGGCAGGGGGGGCCAGACCTCGGCAGGGCCTGGGGAAGCAGAGGAGGAGGTGGGCAAACAACTTACCTTCCTTCTTCCATGTCCTCGTGGACCTGACTGAGGCCTGCTGGGAGCAGGGGGCAGGGCTTGGTCATGTGACCACCCTGCCCCCTGTGCTCTTCACTCCCGGAACTGCGCTCCAGAGAGCTCCGGCCCCATCTGACCCCTGGTTTTTGCAATCCCAGGGAAGAAATTTTTCTGGGGTCAGAAGGGACTGCTGGGGGGTGGGGTGGCCATGTGAGGAAGATCTATGATAATCAACATCTTCCCCTGACAAATACTGGTTCCAGTCCGCTGTCTGTAGCAAAGATAGCATTATGTGGTCTACTGGAATATATCTTCCGTAAAATAAATGCTTTTAAAAATATAATTTCTAACTCACAGCAGTATCAGAGAAAGACTGTGGCGAGTTAGCAGCACGCTCCTCTCTCATAACCATAAAAGATCCTTTTTTTCTTAACTGAGAACCCTGAGTGTTCAGGTTGTTTAAGAATGTAGGATACAATACCACTACTTAAAGGCTATGCATATAATGGCAGAGAGCCAGTTTGGTGTAGTGGTTAAGAGCGGCAGACTAATCTGGAGAACAGGGTTTGATTCCCCACTCCTTCACATGAAGCCAGGCTGGGTGACCTTGAGTCAGTCACAGTTCTCCCAGGGCTCTGTCAGCCCCACCTTACCTCACAGGGTGTCTGTTGTGTGGAGAGGAAGGGAAGGAGATTGTAAACTGCTCAGAGACACCGAGTGAAGTTTGGGGTATAAATCCAACTCTTTTTCTTCTTGAACTGCTACAGTGATTTTTACCTGGCAAACTTATTTGTGCTGACCCATCATTCACTGCCTGGGGATCCCAGCAGGATCTGTGGGCCATTTCATGCATTACACAACAGACCTAGGCTTGCCACCAAGCATACACTAAACAAGGGAGCTGCAGCCAATATACATTTCAAAATTAGTTCCATATTCATTTTTTACACTTTTAGGTGTATACTTCACACAGTGCCTGAAGAGTCACAGGACTGGTAGGTCTTCAGGACTTTCTTGTTACAGGCCTTTTATTTATTTATTTGGTTCTATCCCACCCCTCCTGCAAGCAAATTCAGGGTAGGTTATGACATTAACCTAAAACAATAAAATCAAGATTAAAACTATAAACTTAACCCTTAAATGATGGTGCTCAAACTACATCACAACTATTACAATGGTGCCCTGGTGTTAGACAATTAAAGGCAGAAAAGGCTAGATCCGAAAAAAGATTCCAGATTATAAATACCCTACCTTGGATAAACCAAGGCGGCTTTCATTCTGTGTCCTCAAAAATTGAAGATCATGGTACAGATGGTAACAGAGAGGTAACAAGATGGTAACAGATTCCCCTTCAGATTCTCATTTTAGCTCTTCCTTCTTGCCTCTGAAGTGGCACCAAGAGTTTTATTATTCTACAGGTGCTTTGGAAGGATGTAGTACTGGTTTCCCTCTGGTTTTCTATACCATTATGGTATGCACCAAATGCTGGGAGTATGGCTATGAAAAGGGCTGAGCCAAGAGAGAAGTGTGTCAGTTTCCCACTGGTTTCGACTAACCTTTCTTTCCCTTGCCCTCCACCTCCCTCTGCCCTGTCCCTTCCCACATCTGGCTCTGTTCCTAATCCCAACTCTTGCATTATCATTCAGTTTTGTTTCCAGACAGAAGCTATGCTGACTGCTGCTCACCTTTTTATGTCCATTCTTAATCCCTTGCTTTCAAAACTGTTAAGTATGATATTTCTTCCCATTGCCTACGGCCAGGGCGTGGGGAAAGCATGCTATTCAATCCTAATGGATGTTTGGTGTGTGTGTGGGGAGCTCTCTTTCCCAAGACCGCAGCTTCCCCAGTTACCTTTCCTTTTCTCTCATCTTTCAGACAGTACCTCTCCTACTTAAGCCAGTGAAATGGTTCAGGAGGAGAAAGTAGTCAGCTAAGACTATTGCAGGTGTGGGACAGCCTTATATAAGATCAAATGAAGCTGCATTGAAAAGTATTTTTATGGAAAATATAGAGGGTAGCAGTTGGCAAGGAGTGTTGGAAGACCCATAAAATGTTTTCATATGGAGCCTGAAACAGTAGAGGTTTATATATTATTTGTGAAGACTTTGAAGTTAAGAAGTATTTCTTCCTAAGAACTCCCTAAAGGGTACTCTTGGCAGCTTCCCAGTTTGCTCTTCTCTGTGCAGCACAGGAAATGCAGTGAGATGGAACACAATACCACAACACTACCTGTTCACAGGATACACTTTTACGGGAGAGAAATTACAGAAACAATTCACCAACAGGAATACTTATAATGATGCAACTTTCTTCATCAATTAAGTGCAGTCTTAGCAAAGATTGGGGTGGGCGGTGGGTGGGGAGAGGAATGGATCTGATATCAAGGGACAGGATTTCCTTGAGCTACAAACTCTGTCCGGACAATGCTTAGCTCACTGAAGGCTCTGCTACTACACATACGCTTACCTTTTCGTTGAATGAAAATTCTCAGCAAAGGATTAGCTGTAGAAACTGCTTTGTGGTAATTGTCATCATTGTTGATAGGCAGGAGATCTCCATGAATGTCTGTATAGCCAACTAAAACATCGATGTTGGGTATCTTGTGCACATGTTGCAGTAATCCATAAAACTCCTCAAATTTACCAGGCTTGGACCTTTCCAGAGAAAAACGACGGAATTCTGCACCAAACTGCAATAAAATAAAATTGCAATGATGAAAGGCATGCCCAGAAACTAAAGTCTATAGTTTTAGCCACCCAAATCCTTACTCACCACATAGTTTGAAATCCAGGCCATTACATGAACAAAAATGCCAAAAATACTCAATTTTCTTTACTAAGACATCAGCACCTTAGACCAGAAGATAACTGTTCAATTATTTGTGTAGTGGGGTGCTGTACTTGGTAACCCTAAAAGCAGCTGATACTAAAGCCTTATCTTTTGACACCCATTTATCTAAAAAGGAAAATGTGAAGAGGTTTAAGCTATTTTATTCACTTAAACTTGTAGTCAGCTCTATCCTAATGGTTCATGGGGGAAGGGAATAACAAATCTCAGGCAGCCTCTTAATACTCTACTCCATAAGAATGTTATTTTCAGATGTGTGTACTCAAATGAGCAGCATTAATTTTTCTACCCAACTCATTATTTGCTTACACTATGAAAGCTGAGCCAGAAGAACTCGACAGCAGATTCACATGACTGACATTCTCCAGTCATGTTTAATCCTACTAGGTGCAAGTCTGCCAGAGTTTTAAAGCCACAATAGTCATAATTCTATCACAACTCCAGAGAAGTAGCTGTTTTAGTCTATTGTAACAAAACAAAACAAATGAGCTTCGACTCTCAAAAACTCATGCTGGAATAAATGTTGTTAGTCTTTAAGTTGCCACTTGACTTCTGTTTTGTTATCATTCTATCAACCAACCTTCTGAATCCAAATACTCAAGCCAAGATAACTCAAGTCACAAAACAGAGACTAGTCTAAGTTCCTAATGATTCAAAGCAACACCCCAATCCTGCATTTCTAGAATGAGTTTACAGAACTCCATGGAAATGTACTGTGGCAAGCTATCATATGCTAGAGGGCTGTCTTCAAGGTGAAGACCAAGCAGGACCTTGGTTTAGAGCAGAGGTGTCGAATTCATTTGTTAGGAGGGTCGGATCTGACATAAATGTCACTTTGTCAGGCTGGGCCATGTGTGCAATAAAATGTCATGCCAGGCACCAGAGCGGGGCTGCCAAGCCGCGGCGGGGGATCTGCACATCTTCACAGGATTCCTGCCGCGGGGGACAGTGATACGTGTTGCACCACCGTCACCAGGATGTGATGCTACGCATCGTTCTGACAACGGGACTCCAAACAGCCCCGTTGTCAGAGCAACGCATAGCGTCACATCCTGGCGACGGCGGTGCAACGTGTATTGCTGTCCCCCGTGGCAGGGATCCTGTGAAGACGTGCAGATCCCCCGCCGCGGCTTGGCAGTCCTACACCAGAGGTATTTTACAACTGACCGTGACCCATATGCCTCCTCAGCAGTGCTCAGGGCCAAACCAGCCCTCCTCGCCCCTTACCTGCGTTTGGGGAAGGGAGGGATCTCAGCAGGGGGTATAATGCCCTAGTATAGGCCCTTCTGGTCCACATTTGGATTGGTTTTCTCCCAGTTACTTACGGGCCAGATAAGAGCCCTGGATGAGCCACTTCCGGCTCCCAGACTGTACATTTGACATGTCCAGCTTAGAGTATCAGAAGCTAAAATGGGTGATGATCAGATAACAAAAAATCTTTTTGAACTGGTGATGGCTGGCTAAGCCGATACATCTAAAAACTCATGCCTCTGCCAAACATCCTCATCATTACGCCTTCCCATAGCACATAACATAGTCTGTAGAAATGACCGAGTGTTGCGGCACCTTAGGCCAGCGAATTCACAGCATAAGCTTTCGTGAGTTGGAGTCCGCTGCACGCTTCTGACAAAGTGAACTCTGTCTCATGAAAGCTTACGCTGCAATAAGTTTGTTAGTCATTAAAAGATGACTCAGGATTTTTTACAGTATTTACTCAAATGCAAGACAAGGTTTTTTCCCACAGGTATGTCATTAAAATGAGGGGGTTGTCTTACATTTGCATACAAGCTACAGTTATGATAGTAAAGTCGTTTTCACATGTAACATTTCTTAAGGGGATCATCATAGTTGGGATCAACCTCCTTTCGAGTAAATAATACGGTATTTTGGCTGCAGCAAGCAAACACAGCCACTTCTCTGGGGTACAGGCTGTATAACACAGCAGTACATAGGAGCATTAAGTATTGGCCATTTAACATTTACTTAGGCAGGCAATTTTAACATGATTACTTTAAACCTCAATGCACAGACAGACTTTAAGAGATCTGGGTTAAATCTTAGACCCTGAAATAAGTGTGCTTCATTTGCAAATTGCTCAGTAGTCGTAGCTAACAGTACCAGTTCTCGGTAGCAAATTTTTTGAAACTTAAGATGGAATCTGTGTGACAGTTTTGCTAAGCTATCTACAACTTACTGATGAAAGTCAAAAGAGAAGAAACAACTCCCATAAACTTCTTGGCATTTAAGGTAATGTGCCACTTACAAGCTACTATGACGGTATCTGTTCACACCCTTTTTGCCTGTGTGTTTCTCCTTAACTTCCAGGATTATGAAATTACCATTTTGATTTGTATTTTGTTTGGTCACAAAACCATAAAAGACTCAATTCTTTACACCACAGTCCATCACATATTGTTAACATGATAAAGAGAGAATTTAAGATTAGCTGCAACACTCCACCCTGGCCTACAATTGCACTTATTTAAATATAAGGAATTTACTGTAAATAGCTTGGTTCTACATTCAACTCCACTAACATTATGCTGCAAAGAAGTAGAACAGATGAGTCATTCTGTTTTTTCACCTCCATGCATCACAAAGTAAATAAAGCTGCCAAAGTAACTTCCTTCATATTAAGAGGGGAATTATAATGCTGACATAAATGTAATTTACTATTCATTTGCAATTTTGAAATTGAAAGGAAATTGTTCTCTGTTAAGCGGAATCCAATTCTATTTTCTCAGCGTTAATTAATTGAACCTAACTAAATCCAGTATAATAGTTCGCAATCGCTATAATACAAAGTAAGAAATACAGACTGAGAACTGGACAATTCAGAGTGACCAGAGCAGTAAAGGGCATTTTTGCTTTAGTATGAGAAGGGAGCGATGACAACCTGAGAAGATGGATTAGGGCCTTTCTGGCTTGAGTTTATCTTTAGTGCCATTCTTGTGCTAGCCTGGTCCAGTCAGATATCCTGCCTTGTATAATGAAAGAGGTGCAGATACAGAAGGTGGGAGAATTCTGCCTTGGTGCTTTCCCCTCCCCTGCTCTCAAATCAGACAATATTTATTTCAGAGATACTCATGCATATTTTGAACAAAATTATTATTTAAAAAGCTAAAAGATTAAGCAATGGTGGTGGGACATTGGTGCTGCAGAAGTAGCCATGTGATTTGTCCTTGCCACCTGTCTTAATTTTTAAAGAGGCTAAATAAGCTTTCCCACACTTGAGTGGTATAACAGAAAGCACCTCTAAAAATTAACCGTATCAAAAGTTCATAAAACACAAGCAGGCATGTTATGCAATTTGACAGAAGTCATGCCACAGGTATCTGCAACCCAGTGTCTTCCCAGCAGAAACTGCTGTTTGAGCGTTGGGAAAATGAGATATATCCCCCCCCCCCGCCAACACAGAGAGAAGCACTCCATCTAACTCTCTGGATAACTAGCAACAACTACAAACCTGCCACATTATAAACAATCTGGTAAGCATGTTAGAGAGGTGAAAATGTTTATCTGCTAGCTGAGCATCAAGCGGTCATTTAAGCCCTATAAATGAAAAGTGCAATTTTTCAATTGACTGTGTGATAAATACTGGCTGGTCCGAACAATTTTATTTTACAAACTTATGACACAGACTTCTTTCCCAAAGTAACTATTTGCAAATATAAAGACTATCAGACCAATTCTTTACTGTCATCCTTATTTTTGATAACATACATTTCTATCCATCTAATGCCATTCCATATACTATGAACTATTTGGAAATGCCTTCCATTGACATAATTCCAGAAAGGTGACTGTGTTAGTCTGCTGCTGCCCTTGACAGGGAAAGGAGCGGGGTAAAACTCAAATAAATAAAATAAAAATAATCAGAGACTAGTGTAAAAGTCTGACAAAATTTAATTCCAGCATAAATTCTATAAACTAGAGACCACTACATTTGAAGAAGTGGGCCACAAAAGTGGAATAGAATATAATCTTACTTTTTACAATGATACTAGAGTCCTGTTGGAAGATATGAACTCAAGATCACATCACAAATTATGTCCCCTTTAAACACTACTTAATTGACTACCCAGCTGTATTTACAACCAGAAGAATTAAGAGTGCTAAGAATTCACAAACTAGGATTCCCCACTCTTTGGAGGGGAGACTCTAATCCACATTTGTGATTATGATTGCAGAACCTGGTATGGTAACCATTCTATGCCACAGTAGAATACAAGAATGCGATTTCACTAGAAGTGTGGAAGGTCAACAAGCAAATTTGGTAAAAACAGTATAAAATTGATATTTGGGGACATATGAACAAGTTGGGTTAGGGATAAACAGCTCTTCATAAAAAAGAATAGTGGAGATCTAGGCAAGGCCCTCACCTGGATAGCCCAAGCTAGCCTGATCCCATCAGATCTCAGAAGCTAAGCATGGTTAGCCCTAGCTAGCATCTGGATGGCAGACCACCAAGGAATACTATGGTTGTGATGTGGAGCCAGGCAATGGCACATCTAGTCCAGCATCCTGTCTCACACAGTGGCCAATCAGTTCCTCTCACACAGTGACCAACCAGTTGTTCTGGAAGCCAACAACAGGGCATAGAGGCTGAGGCCTCTATGCACTGTTGCCTCCTGGCTCTGAGATTCAGAGGTTTAGTGCCTCTGAATATGGAGGTTCCCCTCAGTCACCATGGCTAGTAGCCATGTTAGACTGTTGTCCTGAAAACCCTACAGGGTTGCCATAAGTCATCTGTGATGGGATGACAACAACAACAAAGATAGGCAAAGGAAAAAGCTATAACAAACATGATGGAAACAGGGTTTATTTTATATGAAACTGTGAGTCATGAGTAATAAATGGCTTTTAGGGGCCACTTCATCTAGGAATGAGGGAGGTGGCTCTTCCTTGCATTCCTAAGTTTGTCATCTTCACGATGGTTTTAAGTATAAAGCTTAGAAATTACTACCATGCTAACCAATCATCAGAACAGTGGTTTGCTGGAGGTGTTTAAGAGTAATGGTAAACACAAGAGCAAAACAGTATAATGAGACATATCTGCACACAGTTAACAATTAGCATTATATTAGTGGTAAAAAGCTCTCATTACGACCACAATTTGAGATAAGACACATCCTGTTGTTCATAAGCCATTGGTGCACCATAGCTCATCTGTTTAATTTGTGGCTTGACTATACGAATAATGAAAGGGCACTTTAATCTATAACAGAGTATACCAGGGTGTGCTCATTGACATAATAATGTTCTAAAATCACCCCAGGGTAAGAATTTTCTATGAACACAGCTGCCCTACATTATTTTGCTAAATTACAGAGGCTCTGAAAAGTCCACAAATAGTTTTGTTGTAAAACAACCTAAGATTCTCCAAAAGTTATCCTTACCATATAATATACCCCTTTAACCTCCATCTTCAATTAGGAAGGTGCACAATCTGGGAAGTGTAGAGATTAGCACCAGAGTTACAACTGAATTACCATAGCTGAATAGCTCAGGGGTGCCACGAAAAAAAAGGTACTTCATTTGCTCAAAATGGCATCTCCTGCACCCCTTTATCTACAAAGAACATGATGCAAGTGCTTAACAAACAAAACTGACTTGCACAGAAGCTTGTATAGACCTACCTGGTTAGAAATGTACACCCCCTCCCAATACAATTGTTTATGGTCACTGATAGTGGCTTTTGATGTTCTAGCATATCAACTTTCACAGAAAGTACTGCATCAGTTAACAATGGTGTCATGCACAGGACATTACGTTAATGTATAAGAGAAACAACACTCAAGTAATATTGATACAATGGAGGCTTTGAACAAATACTACCTCCCCAGGCAAACCAGATATTTAACCAACCCCTAAGGCCCCTTTTTCAGACAATGTTCTAACACTGGATAAAATTTACTAGAGTGACAGTCATATTTGTCAAGTATTCACAAAAACACATTTGCCTGCCCAACAAATGAAGTGTTTGCCTTTTCACCTCTAAATGCCTATTTTGCAGCTCACGATCTACCACTGTGGTTTGAGATCCTGAGGCAGGACAAAAATACGTGTCTGCACTAAATACTAAGAAGGACAACTGATGTGATTGGGGGGAGGTGAGTCAACTCACACCATTAGTTCACGCCAATTATGAATAACTAGCACCTTTCCTTCTGTAGTCACCCACTACGTATTTTTGGAAAATGGCAGAAATGTGATATTTTACTAATTTGCAGTCACCCCACCTGTAAATATAACTGCACTGTTAATGGATAAGTCATGGGCATGAAGTGATTTTGAGCTACCAAGTTCCTTTAAGTACATATTTTTATCCGTTCTCTTCACTAAAACACATTGTTCAACTTTATTCTAAAAGCAAAACTACCACCTTCCTCTCAAATTCAAGGTCCTTCCAACATTTAATCCCAAAATAAATGGCTTGCGTTAAGGCCAGAAGAAAAAAAAATATTAAGGCCATTACAAGGAGCTTGGGTTCCCTGAACAAAAAAAGAGCTACTATGTGAACATTTGCCTTCCCCCTCCATTAGGTGAGATAGCAGAATACAGTTGGCACTACTTCTCCTCCTTACCATATAATCATTCTCATTTTCCCCATCCATGCTTAAGAGTTCCTAGGAGAGAGGATACAGAACTCCAAACTGAATTGTGGTCTCCCGCTTTGACCTAAGAACTCTCCTATATCCAAAAGCAAACAGGAACCTTGTGGCACCCTAAGGACTTAAAAAACATTTCGTTCCACTGTAATCTTTCATGGAACAAATTGTATTTGGATAAAATACGTAATTTTTAAAGAGCCACAAAAAAAAAATTCCTGCTGGAACACAACTATCTCACACTCCACATATGCTCAAAGGCACTTTAACAGAATCTGTGTATTTACTACTTAAAACAAGTCGTGAGTCTGAGCCCCAGAGACCATAAGCACGGCTACCCTTCTGGAGTCATTCCTATACTCCAGTTTCAAATGTGGGTGGGTGCATGGGGAACTCCAGGCGACCTGGCTGAGGCTACTAACCCGTGAATGAGAGGCACTCCACAAATGCTCAGAGGTACTTCCACAGGCGTATTTCCCCCCCTACAGGAAGCAGACATCAAGGTCGAGCCTTCAACTAAACGACCTCCCCACCCAAAAAAACCCACTCCCGTCTATTATTCCCCTCCCAGCACACACCCTCCCATAGCCCACCACCAAGAGTATGAAACGCGGGTCGTTCCCTCCTACTCTACGCTCCCCCCTCCGTACAAACCGAATCCCCCTCAGAGGGATCAGACCCAAATCTGAATCCTTCCCCCCGCCCCCTTTTACCACAGCCCAGGCGGGGTCTCACCTTGCTCTTCACTTCCATACTGCCGAGGCCACGGCTTCCGCCACCAACGCCTCGTTGCGCCCGGTTCATGCCGTGGGCGAGCCCTCCGCTCGCTCGACGATGCGACAGGAGAGGAGCGGACGACGACGGCGGCGGCCCCCCCCCAGCCGTAACCTGCCGCCTCCCGCCTCGGTCTGAGCCGCCGTCGCAGCGAGCCCGACCTCAGGGAGCCAGCCGAGGCGGAGGGGGGAGGGGCCACTGCCCAGCTGCCTCCTCCTGGCACCTGCAGCCCCAGCGGAAAGGGAGAGGACGCCGCACGCATGCGCGCCGCCGAGCCCCGCTCGCGGAACCCGGAGGAGGGAAAGCCCCGGCGCACCTGCGCACCTGCCGCTTCGCTCGAAGGAGGAAGGAAAGCAGCACCTGCAGCTGTGCAGACAGGAGCGGCGGACGGCGCGCATGCGCCCGGTAAGCGAATACCTGCTGGGCTGGATTCCACAGAGAGGGATGGGGAGGCGCATGCGCACCTCGTGTGTAGGTTTTCGTAGGAGTTTACTCAAGGTCTGGGTGGAGACTGGTTGTTTGTGAAACTTCCCCCCCCCTTCCCCGGGATTTAGTGGGGGAGAGAGACTCACTGGGGTCTGGTTGTAGAGTTATTATACTTGTTCTACTACCCCGATAGGAGAACAGAAGGGGACCTAATTATTTCCCTCTGTTACACTAATAGGGTAGCTGGGTGATTCATGGTAAGGAATGCTCGCTATGTTGTGTGGAACGGTGATGATCCGGAATGAAGTACTGTGAGGGAGTAGAGATGTCCGGGAACTTGTATGGCAATGAGTGGTTTTGTGCTGGTGGCTCTCATCAGAACAATTTCTGTACCAGGTGCCTGTACTAGCTCACACTTATTACCCAACTTTATCCTGGAAGCAACATAACCACCCTCTTTCTAAAGCGACGGTCTTTCCAGATGAATAGTTAAATGGGAGTTTTGTGTATGTAAAGGACTCAAGAAGAGACAACCCAGGTACTTTATTTGTTGCTAGTAAAATGCCCTTGTTAGGTAACTGGGTGCTTCATTCATTGCTAGTGAAAAGTCCTCTGTTATCAGAGTGAGGCCTGTGGGAAGAAAACCTGTCCTAAGTGTGGTGCCCTGACCTGGATGGCGCAGGCTAGCCCAAGCTTGTTGGATCTTGGATGTTAAGCAGGGTTGGCCCCAGTGTTCCCTCTAAGCTGCGTGAGGTTGGCCCTGGGTAGTACTTGGATGGCAGATCACTAGGGAGATACAGGGCTGCTATGCAGAGGCAGGCAGTGGCAACTGCCTCTGTTCGTCCCTTGCCTGGCAAACCCCATGGGGTTGCCATAAATTGACTGTGACTTGTTGACACTTTCCACGACCAAGTGTGGGAGGAACACGCATGATACTGCGACCTTACTCAAAGTAAGCAGATCTGGATGACTGCATGGGAGTCCCATAAATTCTGTGCATGAAGAAATAAAAATGCAAAGAACAGACAAATAATAAGTAATTTGCTGGCATCCCCTGGGGGAGGGGTGCTGTGTGTTCACAGAGCCCACGTGTTAAACCTCCATGGGGATAGTTGTGAAGGAGGACTTGGCAGGTTTTGTTCCCATTGTGATACTGCAGCCTGTTGCTTTGCTGTTCTCTTCCATGCAAGAGAAATTTAAAAGGAGGTACCTGAGAGAGAGTTCCTTTTGTGCCTTCCAGTTGCTTCATCTGCATAGCCAAACCCTGGATTATATGTTTTACGCTGCAATCCTAAACGCAGTTACACCCTGCTAAATCCATTGACACTGACCCTGTTTAAAGGGTGTAACTCTTTTTAGGATTGCACTGTTAGTCACAGTAGAGCATGACAAAATGTTAACAACTTGTTTTCGTATGTAGATAGAGATATTTATATTCTGCTCTTCTTCCAAAGTGCTTAGAGCAGTTTAACTGCCCGAGTAAGCTTGCAAAATTCACTTTATTAATCAGATTAACAAAGATGTCTCTGATTAATCAGGCAGTAGGGTTTAAAAAAAATAAATTATTTTTAATATAAGTACTTAAAAATCTGGGGGGGGCACCTGTTTTGCACAGTGCCAGCTGTGTAGGGGCTAGGGTCAGTCAAGGGAAAGACCTGGGTCATCTCTCAGAGATGTCAAAGAATCACTAGGACTCCTGGTGGGAAGGGAAGCCAAACATCTTCTTGGAAGAGACATTCCTCCTCTCATGTTCACAGGAGGGAATACCTGTTCTGAAATAGAGCCTGTTGCAAAACATGAGCGCATCTCCTAAAAACAAAGAATGCTTCCCCCAAACTGCTGTTTTATTTATAAACAAGTATATGCAGATTTACTTTCACAAGACGTTACTGGGAAGTCGTGAACAGACTCACGCTGTTCTAAATCTATTGACTTTGGTGGACATAGAAGGTGTAATTCTATTCAAGACTGCATTGCTAATGGGCTAAGGCTGATTTAATTGAGTGAAAATCCTGAGGCCTAATGACCCAGACCTTGCTGTCCCCCAGTTTGCTTAGCTATGGCCATTAAACCTGATCAGATACCTCCAGGACAATTCTATGTGATTGTGGGATACACGACAAATCCCTGCTGCTAGGAGGAGGATGAACCGACTTGCATTAGGAATGTTGTGGCATATCTCTGGGGTTGTAATTAGTTAGGACACCCATGCCCCTAATTCGAAAAGCCCATGCCTTGTATGTAGGTACAGTCTCCTGCTAAAGTGATCTTGGGTAACAGATATTGGACAACCTTGTTTATCCACCCCAGAGACCAGAGAGCCATTGCCAGTCACAGTAGACATTATAGAGCCAACGTGGACCAATGATCACACTCAGTGCAAGGTAACTTCATACATTCATCTCAGTCCAGTTGTTCAATGGATCTGGGAAATGTTAATGCTCTTTAATCATGCCACACTGCAAGCACATCTGTACAGACAACTAACTCTCAGTTTATTCATTATTGTTAGATCGTACTAACAAAGACTCGGAGAATGATTTCAGCTCATTGATTCAGCTTTAATGAAGTAGCGAACAAACACTCAAACGCATTCAAAACCAGAACAGTTTAACATTGGGAGCTAGGCTCCTTTTAAACATTCCCGGGCTAACATAGCCACACCTATTTACAATAATCAACCAATAAGATTGCTTAGATAAGAACCAATAGGAGTTCTTCCCGCTCAGGGACTGTGTGTTATTCTGATTGGTCGCTGGTAGAGGGCGACCAATCGTACGTTAGTTCGGAGGAGCCTTCGTCGGCTCGAAGCTTAACATTGAGTGTCAATGGGGCGATTCAAGTGAGGATTCCAATACATCACAATTATGGCTCCAACATTTTTTTTTAAGCATGCTTATGTTTTGAAATGAAACTTAAGTCTAAGTATTCTGGCTTCATTGGCTTTTGTGTTGGTATTTTGGGTGTGTGAGATCACCTTCAGGCAAGTTGTAACGTATTCATTTCAATCTGTCAAATGTTGGGGACTGCAGTGAGCAGAGATTCGGATCTGTTTCATATCATTTTGGGGGTTCCAGAGTCTGAAAGACAAGAGCTGGTCTGACTCTGCTTTTCCCCCTCCTGTCCCCCGCCCCACAATTTCTGCTAAACAGCAGAAAGAACAATGGAAAAAACAAAGGAGATCAGAAACCTTGTGGGTAGGATTTGTATGTCAATTAAATTGACCACCTGAAAGGAAAAGCTGGGCCGCTGAGCTCTGGGTGCTTAAAACTATCATGTGAATGGTTTTATCGGAACAGATTTATTAGGTTTCTAGGAAGGAAGTTTCTCTTCTTGCATTCCTGGAGTTGTTGGCATTCCATAAAAGCAAGGTGTGGCTGAAAGGGTTTCTTGAAGACAGCGAGGTACATTCGTCACATTAAATCACTGGGACCAACCTAATAAAAAAGCATTAATCACTAACTGACTTGCGTCACTTGAGTGACTTGTAGCCGGGCAAAGAACGAATGCAAGGAACAGTTCAGATAATGGTAAAGAAACGGGGCAGATCTTCTGCTCCCGGAGAAAGCACAAGATTAGAGAGCTATTTTAGTCACTAGCTCAGCAAAACCCATGAGTCAGACTTTGCTCAAAAGTTTTTCTTTTCACGGCCCCCAAAGAAAAGAATGTTCTGTTTCTACCAACCTGTGGAAAGCTTAATGAGGAGTATTCCTTTATGCTTCTGATGCCAGATTTGCCATTCCATTTTGAATTGTTTGATCTGTAAAGTCAGTTTGCTAGTACTAGAGTGGCCTGAGATTTCTCAGAGGGGAAACTTTTAAAAGCTATCATTTTCTGAAATAAAATACATTTAAGGACATATGGAACAGAGGTCTATCAGTGGATATTAGCCACAAGATATAGATGGAACACTATGTCTGGGGCAGTGATGCTCTGTATTCTTGGTGCTTGGGGGGCAACAGGAGGAGGGCTTCTAGAATTCTGGCCCCACTGGTGGACCTCCTGATGGCACCTGGGTTTTGGCCACCGTGTAACTCAGAGTGTTGAACTGGATAGTACATTGGCCTGACCCAGCATGGCTCTTATGTTCTTATGTAGTCCAAAGGTCTTGTGGAATAGCCCTAAAATAGTCTCTGGTGGTAGGCATGTTGGTCTGAGGTAGAAGTTGGTCTGAAGTCCAATAGTACCTTAAAGAGCAACAAGATTTCCAGGGTATAAATTTTGGAGAGTCAAAGCTCACTTTGTCAATTATCTGGAGATCTTGTTGGTCTTTAAGGTTCTACTGAATTCAAATCTAGTCCTAAAAATATAGCTTCTGGTTCTGAACACTAAAAGAAGAGAAGAAGAAAAGAGATTGGATTTATACTCTGCCCTTCACTACCCAAAGGAGTCTCAGAGCGGCTTACAAAATCCTTTCCCCTCCCCACAACAGACACCCTGTGAGGTAGGTGGGGCTGAGAGAGCTCTGACAGAAACTGCTCTTTTTCAAGAACAGCTGTGCCAGAACTATGGCTTGCCCAAGGTCATCCAGCAAGTGCAAGTGAAGGAGTGGGGAATCAAACCCGGTTCTCCCAGATTTAGGGTTGCCAAGTCTTACCGAAGTAATAGCAGGGGGAGTCCAGGGCCCTCTCTGGGAGTTCTCGCTCACACTCTTTGCGCACGTGCCGTGATGATGTAGCCTGGAAGTGACATCATCACACTGGGCACGTTGCCAGGGGACGCTCTAGCAACCAGCCTGAAAATTCTATGGTGCCATAGAGTTTTCAGGGTAATTGCTAGAGCGTCGCCCAGCGATGTGCCCATCATGATAATGTC